ACAACCTGAGACATTAGATTTAGAACTTCTCCAGACCTCTTGGCATGAGCCACATGTGACCATGCAAGGTTAGATTTAGCACAGAAGCGGTAGAATCCACAGAAGAATAGAGAATCAAAAAATTACTAGCATTGGATTAGTGCATACATTATAGACTGTAGCTTACATATAGCATTCACAGTATGAGGAATTAAATACATGTCTCTCAAAGTTATGTGTGAAACATTTCTCCAACACAAAAGGGTAAAGTGAAAATTAATTGAATGTGGTATTTTAACCATTTAAAAGGTTAATAAAAGATTTCCACAGTAAAGCACAAAAGGTACACAACTCACCTGCAATGCCAGGTTGATCATTTGAAACCATTGAAGCCATTGAAGCCATATTGTTAGACTCAACAAAGCCACGATTCAAACGCATCACAGTCCTGTGTTATCTGAGCCATGACAGGCATTAAGTTTGCTCATTAAAGGAATAGTTCAACATTTTCAGACCTACACTTTCTATTAGATGAGAAGATTGATACTACTGACATATCTGTCTGTTAAATATAAGGTCACAGTCAAAAGCCAGTTCGCTTAGCTTAGCACAAAGACTGGAAACAGGGGAAAAGAGCTAGCCTGGCTCAGTCCAATAGTAACTAAATCCACCTAAGGCTAACTAATTACCAAATTATTTCTCATTTGTTTAATTTGTACAAAAAACAAAATGCTAAAATCAAAAGAATTTTTTTTGTTTTGGTGAGTTATGTGCTGTACAGTAACTTCCTGGAATCTCTGTTGATTGCCTGGAAAGTGCACTTGCTCATCTCTCTTGTTAATGTAACATTTTGAATGTCAGAGTGGAGCTACAGTGTCTTGCCATTTCATGAGTTCAGGAAAAACACCTGGTTGTCAGTCCACCTAAAGCCAAGGACCAAGGACCAGGTGTCAAATGTTTAACTTGACAAGCTTTGGTGCAACTGAGTGACACGTCTAAAGTGGAATGGAGTTTGATGAAACAGAAACAACATGTTTTGAGTAATATCAGCATCAAAAAAGTGCTGTCCCAATTTTCCCTTCAGGAGACTAAGTGTTGAAATCAGTGCTCCCCCATGAATATACTGTAGGGTTGACAGAATGGCCCTATTGTTTCTCTCTGTCATGAGCAATTGAAAAAATAAAACTGTTGGATAAATCTCACAAAGTCGCATTCAATCCAGAATCATGAATATGATTTAGATCTTATGTTGTTCCAGAAAAGGTGGCCAAGTATGAACTCACAGTCCCCCACAGATTTATTTAATAATAAAGTTAGAGTACAAGAACTAAACATAAAAAGAATGGAAATCAGCACTGTAAAATGATCAGTGAATCTTAGTGAGTATAATAAGCATTTAGCTGTCAGTCTGTGGGAATACGTCCTTATAACTGAACATTCACTTTTCAGCATAATTTAGCCCATATATTTGTTGCAAAATTAAATAAATTATGATATTGATCCATATGACACAGAATGTATGTTTTCCTCTGTCATTATACTGTAGTTTAACATCAAGTAAGTCCACCACCCAATAAAAACATTTTTTTAAACATCTGATTTGAAAAATCCACATTATGTTTGTCACATGTGCAAAATTGAGATTTAAAAACAATAATTGAGGTCGTATTTTATTTGAAAAGCCAAAGGTCAATTTCAGAATCAATTTTCAGACCATTTGAGAATAAAATAAAATGTAATAAAATTACCAGTTTCTTAAGATACAACTATGCATTATGTGATGTGATGCTGTTCTGACTTCAACTTGTGCTCATTAGTAAAAGTAAAATATTTGATAGTTCAGATTTTTCAATTTTTCTGTCTATGATCCTTATAGGGTTTGTGTTTTTTTACGTGTAGCCTTCGTCTTCCCTTTACTGATCATACAAAGTGTAAAAAAGCGTACAAAAATGCACTTGAACAGTGCCTGACACATAGATATAATAATATTATCGTTATTTTTAGTGACCCATTGTGAACTTGTGACATACAGTATGTATTTAAGGACATGTAGTTCCTGTACTAGTACTCCTTCCCCCTATGACAGACATTTTGGACAAACTGAAACTGCAATGTATCCCTTCCCAGGGTTTGACCCAAAGGCTTAGTCAACTCTTTCTCTCGAAAGCTCGGTGCCTGACAGCTCTGTTGTCTATCCTCCAACGCTATATGAATACCAGATGACCATAGTTACAGATCTGATCTTTATGGAGAAATGGCTGAAAGTAGCCTCTGCAGAGACCATCGCTAAGTGCCATCCAGGATTCAGTTCATGATTGATGTACTGTGACAGAGAAGTGATTCTGAACCTTTCCAAATGTGCCATTTCCACTGATCTCAGACAGCATGTTTGGATTTTGTGTGTTACAGACGATTAGGTATAAAGAAAGATGTGCAGTAGCAAACCACAGTGTTTGATATGCTTTATTTTATGTATATTTTGTATATTTTTTTAATCAATTAGGGTTGCTACATCATAGATAAGTAAACGGAAATGCAAGTCAAGTGAGAGGAACAAGACAGAAGATATAGAGATTTAAATATAAGAATATTAAATTATAATCATTTTCATACCGCGGGAAACCCTCAGTGGAGTCAGACATGTTTTAACTGCCAACAGCCCAGAACCAACAAACCAAACACTGACTGTAGATAGTTTTAATCACCATATTCAGACCACATGTTAACATCCATATCCAAGTCAAATGTTAGCATTAGTGTTGCTGATGCCTTTTCAGACCAGAGTATGTACCAGTGTAAGTTCCATGACGCAGTTATGGCAATAACCTCAAACACAAACTGCTTTCACAAAGTGTGTTTACATATTTTCAAAATGGCCCAACATCTACCACAACAATAGTCTAAAAATACATTCTGATGATATTCGTAGTGATATGACAATTGTTACATTGTTTATCTCTTGCGATAAATATTCCATAAATCCACTTAGAAATAATGAAAAATCAACTCCAGAACTGGCCTTAATCCTCATCTTTTCTCCCGTAAATAAGTAATCCAGTAAAAATGTATTCATACACTGCAAACAGGAACCCCTAATAGATAAAGACAGAGTCAGGTGCATGTGCCACCATGTTTATAGTCATATGAGCCAACAGATTTTAGGAAAAAAAGTGGTCTGTCTGGACGAATTTCACATTGCTGAAGTGTGACTGTGAGTTCCAAGACTCAACAGACAGCAACACGTGCAATCCCTAACCAAAGCAGAATAGGATTTGTTGTGCAGATTCAGTGGATCAGTTTGCTTCTGGCCAGTAGTTCCTCCACAGAGACAGCAATTAATGTGATCTGTGTGTCTGTGGAGAGAATGATGTCACGCCTTGTAGATGCCCTTTGGGAGCACAAGCAAAGAGGCTGAATTTCTGTGTGTGTGTGTATAGTGTGTTGAGTGATAAGAAAGGAGTACATGAAACTGTAAGTGCATGCTTGTTGCTTAAAGAACAGAGGTATGGAGCAATATAGTTTTGTTGAATTAACATTTTTTGTGCCATATTTCAGCACTAAAGTGTTAATTCTAAAAGATTTTCTCTCTTCTCCATCTATGCTGTCTTGTAGTAACGAAGGCTGCCAAGTCAAATAATGAGCCCTCTTAACATCCAAGTAAAAAATTATTTTCATTACAGCACATTAAATAAGTAAATTACTGTGTCAGTTTCGGCTGGGTGTGTTTTTCTGCTGAAAAATCTGAGGTTTCCAGCGTTTGCACAGCAGGCAGTGAATTCAAAAGGTGCAGTATGCTTCCTTTGCAAAACAAAAGACATTTTTCTCAGTTCTTTACCTGTTATTGGATTGTTTTTGCAATTCCCTTATTATTTGGCAGGCGTGTAGTTTTTAGTTTTTTACCGTGTAGAATCTAGTCATGGGTGAAGGTAAACCCATACTCAAAATGTGGCATTCAATCATATGCAGGGATCTGCTTTCCCTGTATTCATAGCCCAGCCTTGACTGGTCTTTAACACAGAACATGCACAGTGACATCATCCAATACCAACCATGATCACAGGAAGGAATTTCCAAGGAAAAAGGGGGTGTAAAATCGAAGAGGGAGGGAGAAGAGCTAGATTTGAAAACAGACCCAGGGAGAGTTATGTGAACACAAAGGGAGGAAGGCTGTGTGTTCACTGTCCAGTGATACCAGTGACGAGACAGAGACAACTACAGCACCTGTTTTTTGTATGCATGTTGGCTGTTAAGCAGATGTTAGGGTGTCTGACCCTATGTCTGGACTACTTGAGGCATTCCTTGGGGCAAAAATTATGTGGGGAGCTGAACGTAAAAGTTGTGCTACTTAGAATTAAATGGATTTTCATATAGGAAATAGGGTTGCAGTATGTTGACTTTCAGCTTTGTTCTTGACCTTGAGGGTACATTTATTCTGAAACAATAAAATTCAGTTAATCTGCCAGGACACATTTTTGCAACACAATAGAGGTACGTGAGTTAATTGGGAAAAGGAAAGCAGGCATTCAACGACTGCATTTCAACTTACTGTAGATACAAAACAAGCCTGTTAATATTTACTTGAGTATGTTGTTGGAGCAACTCAGATGAGTTTGTATTTGTTTAAATAAAACAGACTGGTTTACATTTATTGGTTTGGCTTGTTTCACCACGTCATTAAATTGTGATTTACACTCAAGAAACAATTCAGTTCTTTCATTTATTCGGTTTTAATTGTAACTCGTTCATCCTTTTTTAAAGCACTGTGTCAGGTCTATGGCCTCTTCAGATTCACCAAGCTGTGGTGATTTTGAATTCATGTTGGTTGCAATGGACTACAATGGTGATAAGTTAAAACTGCTCCTGTAGCTTACCTTACTACTGTCTATCTATATGACCAGTGTCCCAAACAAACAAAATATGGCTTATTAAAAAAGTGTATCCAGCTGCAATAAGCGTAATACACAATGGTGTTGTGAAATAAACTAGTGGCCCACTCCAGCATGGACATGTTGCAGCGAGCAACTATGTTAACAAAGCACAGCTGCTCCTTAATAACTAACTACCTAATAAAAAATACATTTTATTTGTAAGAAAATACACAATATAGTGAAATAATGTGAAAAACGATAAGGTCTATTAGTATTTCCAGTCAAGTTTAAATCAAAAGCCAAACTGAGACGAATCAATGAGTACTGGATTGTTACAAATGTATGTGTATGTGTATCAAATCATTGACCATGAAAATATAATTCATAACTGCCAGAAACAGGTAGACACTCCTACAAGGTGGTGTATGATCATGATGTATTGTATTAACTTGGCAGGGTTGCGATCATTTATTTGACTTTCCCATATTTATTTGATTCACAACAGACTTTTCCGGATTACAAGACATTAAAATCAACACATGCCACTACACCTACACACACACCCACACACACAATTCTTCTCTATTTCATCATATGTGTTTCTTTTGAAAGTTATACTTAATGTGGTTCCAAGCCTTATAAATCACCTCACTGCCTTCGTACCTTTGAATATTTTCACAGATTTGCTTTCCTCATCAGCAAACGGAGGAGTCTCAAGCAGTGCATCGCAGAATTATTAGTGAAATGTAATTTAGCTTGTAGTAGCATTTACCAAGACAACCTCACTCATCTTATAAATCAAAACCATATGAGCTTATGCTTTATCAAAGAGAGTTTTCCTTTCCAGCCACTGATTGTTTCAAAGCATCTGTTTTTGGACTGTTTGGGAAAGGGAAATGGTTTTAATACGATCTATATTCTGAAATTATGATTTTCCATAGTCATTTTTGAGGTTTGTCTTCTTGGTGGCATTAATTTTAGTTTAGAAGATGATGTAATTTATATGGATTGATATAAATATAAAGAATAATAAGCAGGACATAATCGATCTCCAGGTTTTCCATAAAACTGGATTGCCTGTGGCGTATTGGTAGGGATACATGTGTTCTTGATATTGAGATTATCTTTGCTGTTTCTCACACAGTCATATACCACAGGCATCTAAAAGAAAATACTGTGTTGTCTTTTATTGCATGTACAGTAACAGAAGGTTTCTTTCTAGTTTCTTATCATAATCAAATCTTCCTGACTAGATAATGACCTACAGAATTGGTATCTCTGGCCCAGTGGAAATGTGGCCTCATAGCCTTCCCAAAACAGGCCAGCTGTGATGTCTGGCATATAGTGTGGGCATGTGTTTTAGGATTTAGGGCTTCGGCTGGAATGTGGGCATGTCATGTGAGGCCAAGACATATGTGAAATGAAGATAAAGTTACAGACTGCAAGACCTAAATTACAGTATTGTGTTCTTAGAGTGAGTTATTGTAGTTTTCAATGCAGAACATCCCCTATTATAGTAGTAATAATAAACAAAAGCAGTTCCTTATGTATTGATCAAATAAGATACTTTACATTTTTGTCTAAGTTCAATGCTTTAAAGAACTAATTGAAGCATATTTCTAAACAATGTTGACTTTAATCAGTGTTGTTTGGTTTTGGTCTTTCTTCTACTTCTGCAGCATAGGAACCTGAAAATGGCCAAAGTAGAGAGAAGTAGTACAGTCGTTGCAGTCAGCAATAGCAGCAAGACATCTAAACAGTAGTATGAGTACCAGGGCATCTTATAAGCCTCTGTACGCAGGTGAGGAGCCCCTTTATGGCGCATCACATATTCCACCCAGAAAACGGCCTGATCCATGGGTGTCATTGGCTGATCTCTGTGTAAACAGGACAGTCTTTGCATGTTCTGTGTGTAGCTGTCTTGATGGAGCACGTCGCTGAGACCTTGCTCGAAACTGCGACCGCTAACATCACCTAGCTGAATGATCTTCCCAGCTCCTCTCTCCTGCAGACGGAGAAGGTTGTCATACTGGTCAAAGAACAAGGGAATGCCGAGCACAGGAATCCCATGGTAGATGGCCTCCTGGACTCCGTTGGTTCCTCCATGAGCTACAAAGACTTTGGTATGTGGGTGGCCCAGGAGGTCTCTCTGTGGCATCCAGTCCACTATCAGGGTGTTGTTGCCCAAAGTAGAGGGACGTTCCCCTTTGTGCCTCCATATCACCTGAACAGAAAATTAAAAGAATCATTATGAATTATCTGTATATCTGCACACCAACAGATATATAATATAATAGTGTTATCATTGCTGCAGCCAGCACTCCACTTACCACACTGCAATTATGTAATAATTATACATTTAAGAGCACTTTCCAAGATACTCAAAGACGCTTTACATGACAAATTAAACAAAAGAACCTTGAAAAGTACAAGTCCAGTCCACCATTTGTAACATTAATGTTTAATTCCTTTATAAATGAATCCATTCATTTTATACCCACTCATTACAACTCCCTGGTCAGGCTTTCAGTGTATCATATCGCTATGAATCCCTTATTTTAATTAGATGTATGCCTTGGAGGACTGATTTGTTCACTTAGTATTTTAGCAATTTCTATTTCAAAATTTTAATTTCATGTATTTAGTGATGGGATCATTGCTGCACATTTTGCTGTGAGACTCTCTAGGTCAAAGAAGTTGCATTTGGAAATGCAAATTTTAATCTTTTTAACATTTCATGTCACTGAATAAGTGAATCACTGAGCATGTGTTACCTTCTGAGGCATCTTGGCAAAGACGCTGGCGATTTCATCTGCAACCTCTTTGGGCAAAGCGTTAACCAACGTTCCCAGAGTCATTATGATCACTCCGTGCTCCCCTGCACTCTGAACAAACTCTTCCAGGTCCGCTGGCAGGGGTTGGGCTGGTTTGCACTGGAACCCTCCTATGTAGATGACATTTGGCATTGTGGGCCGAGGGAATTCAAATACAAAATCTGACCTGAACAGCCAAATGTCTGCTTCCTGAAGAAGCGAGATGATGTCACATCCACCCTCAATATATTTATTACAGATGGTATCATAGCATGGTCCCACCATGAATTTCTGCTGGAACAGTATAATGCTGTAGAAAAGCATGTTCTTGACCCTCTGGATGAAATTCATTTTGTCTGTTAAGCCCGATCCTGGCACTGGGATGTAAGAGAGTGGTGAGGGGGCTATCGCAAAGTGACCTTCTCCGCTGGTGATCCAGCGAACATTGAGCACCATGGGCAGTTTGAGATACTTGGCTAGTAAAACCCCTGGTGCTATGGCTGGGTCAGTGAGAACAAGATCATACTGGGAATCCTTTAAGCTTTGGATCATTCTTTCATCATCAAAGATTTGAACAAGGGCCTCAGACCACATTAAATGGGCCTTAGAAATCATAGAAAGGAAATCCTTGGTGAGTTTGAAGAAAGTAAGTGCTGAAGCCCCCTCTCTCTGCGCCTGAAAAGAATTATTAGAAAAAAAGTGGTTAAAAAGTTGATACATGAGTACTAAATGACCCACACAGGGCCCAATATAATCCAAAATGGCTTACCCTCATGTGTTCCTGCAGGTAAATATCAAAAAAGTTCTCTAAACCTTCATCCATTTCGAGGGTAATGGATTTGTAGAGAGGAGACTTTTCTGGGATGTACCAGCTGGTGGAGGCCCTTATCACAGTCATGCTGTGTCCCCTGGCATGAAGTTCTTCCAGCAGGATCTTCATATTGATCCAGTGGCTGCCATCTACTGGGAACACTAGAATGTTTCCTCCATCACAAGGTGGTGTGAAGGAAATCAGACAAACACTGAGGAATACAATTATTCCACACACACTTTGCAATGGCATGGTTCCTAAAATGTAAGACAGAGAAAATGTAACATAAGAGACATCTTCAGCTTCAACATATCATCTGGAAGATCAGGTATGATCTGTAATGAAACAGTTCTGCTGGTAAAATGAACGTGCATCTGCATCTATTTTGTGATGTAACCAGTAGGAAAATTTCAAGCACTGATAAGAAAGTATAGTATGATAATAAGCCACAACATGCTTACATGTTGCACAGCATGCAACATGTTCCTGAAATTTACTTACCTGTGCTCAGGAGTGGCAGCAGTAACCCTATGTGCTCGCAGACTGACAGTCCATCTAAAAGATTCCTTACATAGGAGGACCGATCATCTATGTTGACCTGGAGTTCAAACTACCAGTCACAGAGATGATCGGTCCTTTAACAGGTAAATGAGTTACATGTGACACGTGTCACACAAAGCTATGGTGCTGCCATGAATGTTCTGCAGATAATAAACAAAGTGATGCTTTCTTCTTCGTCATGTCATCATAGTTAGTTAATTTTTTTAAACTTCTGTGTAGTTTAGTTTTGTGAATGTGTTTCTCCCTGTCACGCAAGAACAATGCTTACATCAGAAGAACCTCTGACCTCTTTCATAAGATCATTAGACTGGGTTGCGTAATGTTAACCCACATGAGTTTCACACATACAATGGTAAAAGTGTAAATAAATACCTGCAAAAATTATGAATGGGTTTCTCAGATATAGTACATGTATAAGCTATCATGCCTTTAGCTTGACATGCAGTTATATTCAGGGTTTTGACCTAGAAGTTTGTTTACTGAAATTTGTGCCAAATATAACTGCTATGAATGTAGGTTGCAGGTCTCAGAACTGAACTCAGTTGACCTGAGGAACGTACTCTCATATCAGTGGTGGAGAAGGTCAGATTCTTGACTTGAGTAAAAGTACTAATACCTTGCTGTAAAAATACTCCATTACAAGTAAAATTCCTGCATCGAAAATAAGATAAGATAATCCTTTATTATCCCACAACGGGGAAATTTGGTTTGTTACAGCAGCATGGATAGTGCAAAGAACAAAAGGGGTACAACAAAAGTCAGGGAAATAAATAAAATTAAAGTACTTTACATAAAATATTACTTAATGTATGTAAGTGTGTATTATCGGGATATGTACTTAAAGTACTTAATGTGGAAAAATGGCCCCATTATACAGACATCATCAATACTGATGAATTAATGTTTAAGCAGCATTTTACTGCTGTACGTGGTTGACCTTTTACTATTTTATATAAGCAACTTGATTTTATTATGGATGAATCTGCTGATTGTTTCTTTCATCAGTCTATCTGTGTTTTGGTTTGCAAAATGTCAGAAACTGTCAGAAATGTCCATTACAAAATGATTCAGTTTACTGTAATTAAGATAAACAAAAACAGTAAATCCTCATATTTGAGAAGCTGGAACAATGAGATGTTATCATTTCAACGATTTAAACGGTTAATCAGTAAACCACAAAGCTTGTTAGTCAGTAATCATAATACCGTTTATCTGTGTTCTTGAGTTCACTCTGGTTTCTTTGCTTCTTTCACTGATTTCCGTAAAGACACTCTGGAGGAAAAACAATCTTCCACTTTCCTCACCAGGAAAAAAACAATGTCCACACAATCTCTGCTGGGTCCTATTGTCTGCCCTTTTCTGACGTCTCGCTATTGTGAACTTAATATACCTATATGTAGAGAGAAAAGATCTCTCTTCGCAGGCACACAGTGACCCCCGCCACAAAACTGCAAAGTATTTTCTGTTTAGTCTGGTGCAATTTGGTTGGTGGAAACCAAATTTTATATCCCCACAAAAGGTGGGCTAGGTGTCCATGTGGCAGTCTGGTGTGTGCAGTGCTTTACCAATAAACATTTCTCAATGCATTGATTGTGCCTAACGATTATGTCTTGCATTTCCTGACATTATCAACCGAAGCAGCCACACTTTTAACACACACTACTTAAGTTTCTAATACTCACAAGACTCCCAAGAAAGAGAGCTGGTACACATGAGATGTGGAATTACTCAGTTTCCACCCTTAATCCCACATACAGTAATTGGCAAATGCAATTGCTTTGTTCTTCTTACATCAGTTTCACCATACAGTTTACTAAAAATAACGGCTTCACCCATGCATGATTTAAAGTGCTTGCATGTCAGCTGGAGGAGGATGAAACTCCATGACAATTTATTCCATGACAGATTTCATGATCTAGTGGTCTGTTGATGGAGGAAACACTGTGTCAGGCAGTGTTCAAAGATCTCCCACAGCAAGCGCTAAAGCGGGTAAAGATGTTGTTACCAAGACAACAAAAAAATATTGTTCATGATAACATTTATTACTTTTACTTGAGCTAATTGAAGGATTCATTATTGCATTCATGACACTTCTGAACAAGATGGTTAAACGCTAACGTACGTAGCAACTTGACAAATGCCATCCACGCCTCTGCTACTACCAATTACGTGCTTTATGAGAATAAAATTATAGCCTAGAATCCCTTTGTGCAAACTGGTATTTAACTTATCTCCTACAGCATTAAGCAGACATTACAGGAAGCTGCTCCCGTCAGCTTTTACAGTTTGTGTTCCGTATTTTTCCAGGTGTTTTCTTTGTTTTGTATTCACTCCCCAGCTATATCAAGGAAGGCAAACACACCCACACCAGACCCTAATTTGTTACAAAGTAGGTCTGACAGACTCTGTTCATCAGCTGTCAAATAATTCACATGTAATAACTACTTCAAAATGATTAACTGTGAAATGTGAACAATCAAAATGGCATTAAAGCAAAAAGACACTCAGCCATGCCTAGAGATTTATGCCATGTCATATATCCTATGTATCAGCTTAAGTCTGAATAAATAAAAGTTGCCATTACAGTATCACAAGGGTTTTTGTTTTTTTTGTTACAGTCTGCACAAGCCATTTACATTTGTCAGCAGGGCTCTGGACAGGATAATGACCATGTGGAAACCCAGGGATGTCTGACTCATGCATCTGTGAGAGGTCTCTGCAGCCCCACACATGATGAATGAGAAACAGCTTCAAACCGCTCAGATTATCAGAGCAGATGGACAAATGAATGAGGAGAAGTTTTTCTCACCTGCTTTTAGTTTATTCAGTGACTCGGTCAGTCACCTCTATTTATTTCCTCTGTATCTGAGTTATAGTTTAGAGCTCCAGTTTTAGTTTTGCTTGAGTACACATCAGCCATCCACTGTTTTGTTTTTGAGTTGTGTCGAAAGAGTTTATTTATTAATTAATGATTCTTTTTTCCCTTTTCTTTTTTATTGGTGCAAAAACAAAACATGATGCAAGACTGATAGAAATGGGGATAAAATGTACAAGGACAGAGGAAAAACTGTTATGCACAGAACACAACATATAAAAAACTAAACACACAAGGATGACATTATTATTATTATTATTATTATTATTATTATTATTAACATCATGCAGCTACTCTGATTTAAATTAGTGTAATAACCAAGTGTTTTAGGGTAAATCGTTTAAATATGACACTTGTGTTAATGTGTATGATGTGTAGGAGAGAGAAGACAAATGATAATAATAAAAATACATGTATTGAAAAATAAATAATAAATAGGCAATATGGATATTGGTTTGTGTTATGGGTAGGCAAGTGATATAGATGATAGAGCATGCGCTGTTGGCTGAGTCCTGACCACAGCGGCCCGAGTTTGATTCCAACCTGCGGCCCTTTGCTACATGTCACCCCCCTTCTCTCTCTCTCTCTCTATCCCCTTTCCTGACTATCTTCAGCTGTCCTATCAAAATAAAGGCATAAAAAGCTATTTTTTATTGAAAATATATTGAATAAATAATAAATTAAATTTAAATAGTATTTAAATGCACAGAAAATGTGTTTTCATTCCAAAAAATAAAAAATATAACAGCAAATCAATCACTACACACTGATGTAATAACAAATATATAAACATCCACATCACTATACAGAAGGTAAAGTGATTAAAATGTATGTATTCAAGCAAAGAGGCTTTGATTGAAATAACAAATCTCTGGAACAGTTTAAATAAGATTAATTTCTGTCTAAATCATTGCACCCTTGACAAGGATTTTGAGATTGTTTATTAGCAAACAACCATGGCTATATTTGATAGGAGTGAGTGAAGTATGAACGGGGGAATAAATGCATCTCCAAATTGTTATTGTGTTAGGCTGAGAACGGTAAACTAAAGAATGGAGAGCAGCCCAAAAACACCATCTAAGAACAGCCAAAGTGTACAGAAAGTTTCTCATTCCAAAGGTTGGAGAGGGAGGAAAACTCATTGGCAGCGACAAGTGGAAAATATGTGCAACTTCAACAAATGTTAAGCTGTGAATTTTACTAATCAGTTAACACTCTACATTTGTCAAATCCCATAGCTAAAGGCAAAACCTAATACCAAGTAATACCTAGACTCACCATAAAATGCAGCCTAATCTATTAAATGCAGTATAAATGACAAAGTGAATAAAAGAAATAAAGTTAAAAAAACAACAGGATCAAGAACTTTCTCTCTGAAAGGTCAAATACAAGCTAATTGCTGCAGTTACAGTTGACTTTTCATTGGTTCTTGAAGTTTTAGGATTTTTTTTTCCACATTGAGTGCAGTGCTACTAGCTATAGTGGAAGAAGAATGGAGGATCATGGAGTTGGGACCTGAAGAAGACAAAACTTAAAGAGCAGTAGAAAATCAGGTTGAATTTTGGGGTTTGGCCTTTCCGAGATGGAAGGTTCTGAAGATGGATCAAGGTATTTTGACTTACACAAAAGTTCTTAGTTTTTTGTTGGAAAGATTGATTTTAAATTCAATTAATCATCACTGTATGGACTGTTATCATTTGTTGTTTTTTTTTTATGAGTGAACAAGTAATGTGGTACAATTTTGGAGAATTCTATTGCAAAATCACTTTTTACCCAATAGGGACACACATCAATCTGGTCAGGCAAGTGGAACATTGGTCAATGTCACCATTGTTGTAAGAGCTCTCACACATTCTTGTATTTAGTTTTTTTTCCATGTACAGATGGAGAGAGAGCAGGTATACACTTGCCAAAAGACTCTCCCATTATAGTGACATTCTGTGTGTGTGTGTGTGTGTGTGTGTGTTTGGAGTATAGCCATTTAAGTTTCCTTGGGGTGGAGAAGATGATGATCTCAGTGTGTTGTAGCAGGATCCTGACAGTTGAAGACCTTAAAAAACAAACACAACGGTGTGAGATACACCCAGATGAAGTTTCTCTCTCATGTGCCAACCTGCTCGAGAAAGAAACCTACAGCACATGCAGAATCAGTGTTTCAGTGACGGATGGTTCCTCAGAAAGAATGTCAAGTTCTTTATGAACAAAAAACTCTCTTTAGGTTAGAGACTAACTTTGGTGGGCTTTGGTTTGGTTACTCACACAGGGGGCCTTGCTTTGTAACTCATATGTGCTCGTACAAATACACACAAGCAAACTGACCTTTAATTTTTTCTAGCTTCCTATACACAGCCTAAATTAAAGGACAGATACATTCTCAGAGACAAACTATAAAGCTCATTACAGGCTCCACCTTAGCCAAATGCCTTTGATTTGTCCTCTCATTGTTTAAGGTGCTTATTTCAATTACATCTTGCAGGCTAACTCCATAGATACGACTGAACAGTCTGTTTTATTATGGAGTCACATGGGATCATCCCAGCTCACCGTAAGATTATAATGGCATCTGTCATTGTATACATCAACAAACAATTTAGAAAATGCCACAAATTTGTTGTACAATGAGGTGCACAACAAAATGAATGTCTGCTCCTTGATGAAGTCAAGATTTAAGATCCAATACTGTATTGCCATTTCAAGTCAAATGTAGTCTGTGTTAGAAGGTCGTGTTTGTAATATGCACCATATTCATCATAAGGTGAACAAACTACCACCAACCTTTTTCCAAATGCTAATATCCATTTTTTGATTGATGGTTTGTTTTATTTAATGCCTGAATAGTTGGGAAATGAACATGCAAAGACCTGAAAGCTTGAGTACATATAGTACACGTTAGTCAGCCGTGTATATTTATTTTTGTTAGAAATCAAATCCAGAAGGCAAACAATAGGCAAACACCGACATCATGAAAATGATAAAGTGATTTTGGCCATCTCTTGCGTTTTCCTGCAAGCACTTAGTCATGCCGTTAAGAGTTCTACAAAAAGTTTATTCTCACAATTATATTACTACATAAGGATAATTTAACTCTGAGAAAAAACAATAAAAACAACTGTTTACAGTTTAAAGCCTCTGCAAATTTATTGACAATACTGAAAGGAGGAGAAATCTAAGAACCTGTACTAAAATTTAGAAAACTGGCAGCAGTAAACTAAAGTCTGTGCAATTTTTGGTACACTAAATAAAATGCAAAATAAATATTAGTATGTCTCTTTAATCTGCTCTCTAATGCCGTGCAAGTTTATCATCACAAAATGAACTTTCAAAAACAATAATAATCAACGTTTTTTTCTCATATGTCCAGCATGAGCCAGAGATCCTTCTCATGATGCTTCA